GTGTGTTGTGTTAGTTCTTGTTGCTATGGCCTAGGGAGGGAGTTCGATCCGCCGCGTCGCCTCCCTCGCTCCTCCCACATTCGGTACGCGCGGGGATTCGGCGCAGAGAGGGCTTCGTTCTGCGTGAGGCGAGCGGAGGGGAACGGTGCCGCCGAGGCCCAGTCAGCCCTGCTCGCGGCGGCGGCTGGGCCGGCTCCTGTGGTGTCCCTCATCCCCGGGCGGGGAGCAGCCCAGCTGGCGACGGGCTGGGCCTCTGCCAGCAGCCCGGGAGCTGCTGTAATAGAGGGTTTCCCGCTTGCTGGCGTGGCGCGGCCCCGCGGGGTCCCCCTCCAGCCCGGCGGCGCGGCGCGCGCTTCCTCCCCCGCCCGCCCGGCCCGCCTCGTCGCGGCTCTTTGCCCCGAGGCTCCTGCGAGGTGGCGAGCTGCCTCCTCTCTTACTGGCAGGACCTGCTGTGTCTTCTGCTTCGGCCAGTCCTTGGGTATCTGATTCACCTCTTCAAAGGCTAGGCACGGCTCTTCGCTCCTCTTTCCTCTCGTAGTTCTTAAAGGCTGCGTCTGAGCACCCTCCTCATCCGCTCCAACTGCTCAACCCTGTTCTCTGCTGGGATCCTCGGGTTCATCTCAGCCCCGGAGCCAAAGCTCTTGATTGTCTCCTAACGCAGCCAGACACTGCTAGCTTGCACCGTGCTGTTCAAACAACTAAACAGAGGTGAATCTGTGCTTTATACAAAGTTTTAGACAAATGCTGCAAATGCTTAGCTGGTGATGAAATACTAGTCAGTCAGCAAACGTGTTAGCTGCAGCAATGTGGGATTGGAGCTGCTGTCTGCCAAGGCTGAACCAGAATGAGAAATTAAAATCTGTGTTCAGGCAAGGTTACTGCTTAGCTGCAGTAGCACAAAGTTGGAAATAATGGAGACTTTTGTTTTCATTTTATTGTTAAATACTTGCAACATTTCCCCCTAGAGATTTTTTCATCCCTAAAGAAAACACAGTGTGTAAATGATTTCTGTGTCCCAAGGAATCTCTGAGGCTTTAGGGGGGGTACACAGTAGACAAGCACGGCTTGTTGTTGCTGGCGCTGGAGCGCTCTTAGGGGCGTAGGGGCTTGTTTGACAGTAGCTTTCAGGACAGCTCTGGGCAAGTCACTTGGAGGAGACTGTGGGAAATAGCTGTAGTTATTCTAAGGAGCTTGGGAGTTTGCACAGCAGACTGGTATGAAAGAGGAAAAGGATATGGAGCGTGGCTGGAGCAATCTGAGAAGGAGCCATGCCTTGGGAAAAGTTCTGCGCTGACCTTTACGGGGGATGATTGTTAATTTCTGCGTTAATAACACTGTAACACCCGGGAGGGGAGGAGTTTAGCCTCCACGCTGGGTCTGTGTGGGAAGAGCAGCTGGGGAGTGGTGTATGCTCTCCAAATAATCCAGCACAGTTGCATGGAAAGGCACAGGACTCAGCTTTTTCTGGGTGCTTCTCCTTCCTGTGCAGCCTGGCGCTGTATTCACTCCTGCTGCAAATCACAGGGCATCTGCTGCATCTGGGCACTGGGGTGGCCCCTGGGACACTGCAGTACCTGCGCTTTTTCAGGGTTTGGTTCTGTGTTGTGCGCAACAAAGAGGGAAACTTCTTGGTTTGTCACTGGACCTGTCTTTATGGTAACAGAGACGGCTCTGGATTTCCCAACGGAACAACTTAGGCTCCTTTTTTATCTTTTGGAAACTCAGAGACAAAGTCAGAGGGAAGAAATAGGCCAGGGAGAGGTGGCTCATGCAAGCGTGCTTAGGGGCAAGAAGAGGTAGCAGGGAACGGCACAGCAAGGAGAAGCGAGACCATAAACCAGAGTAATTCCTGGTGGTAACCAGTGGGAGCTGCAGCAGTGTAGGAAAGCATCAGTCTCCTCACAGCCTGCATACCTGTGAAAGCCTGATCTTCCTTTCCATCTAGAAGTAATAGATTACTCCAAAATTAGCCTCCTTCCTTTTTCCAGTAACCAAGTCTTAAATTCTGCAGAGCCTTTTCCGTTCCTATGAGCTTGCCTGGCTGTAAACAGCATGCTCTACGCTATGTAATGATGCAGAAAATACTCTGTTGTAAACACTTTAACAGCGGGACACCAGGGTAGTTTTATTGGCCTAACTAACCAGGCTAGCTGGAGTTAAAACTGCTCGGTTGTTTATTTACACATGTATGCAGCAAGCAGTTAGTACATTGGAGAGTATAAATGAGTAACTTAGAGAAATCACAGAATCGTGTTTGAGCAGGATTGTCCTTCCTAAATTACTAATTTGTGTAAGTATTTTTCTGTGAAAAGTTCCTGATTTGCCTCAATCTTTTTGTTTAGAGCAGTCAGAAATTAATAATAAATATCTGCTTAAAGACTACAAATTGCGCTACACATGAAGCGGAAAAAACACAACAATGCCCTTTTAAAGACTTTGCCCTTTTAACGTCTTTAATCTGAAGATCTCCGAAGTTTGTCTGTTAAGAATTCCGCCAACTGACGGCCATCCTTGACTGTTACAGTTGGGCAATTCAGGTTTTTATGATGCCTGATCGTAAGATGTAAGAGGTTTGTCCAAGGTCACGAAGACAGCCTGTGTCAGACGCACATGGTGACTATAAACATCTTAAGCTCTTGGGACAAAACCGGTGTCTTGCTCTGCGTGCAGTGCATAGCTGAGCTCTTACAGCAAAGTCCATAAGCTTTACTATAGTGAAAAGAAAAACATTCTATTGAGTAATAAAAAAATTACACTGATGTCAAATAAAACAGACACTGCTAGCAGAACGATTAACTGCTTCCGTGTCTGACAAGTCACGTTCTTACAGAAACGGTTCATGTCTCTGAATTTTTCATGAGTGGGCAACAGTTTTCTATCCTGCTAGTTCAATTTTCACGATGATTTAAAAAGCAAACAGATGTTCCCGGGAAGAAAAAATTGCACCATACAAAGTAAAAGGATTACTGAAAACGAGAAAAGAACAGGTAAGGTATGTCAGCATCCTTGAGGCCAATTTATTCTTGCCTTTTTTTTAATCTGTGCCTTTGTTGTAAATTACAGGTATACCCATTAACATCTCAAACAGAACTGGAAAAGTAAGGCCAACAGAGGTGTACTTGCTGAATTGCTTTGCAGGGTGTTTGATCCAGCCCTCAGAGTGCTACAGCAGGTTCCTCACGCTCAGCGCAGGCCTGGTTTCATCTGTAACTGCTCTCTTCTGTTGCTTTTGTCAGCAGCAAGGGGTGCGTCGTCATGCCAAACGCTACAGTGCTTCTAGTGTCCTGCTCCACAGCCACAGCAGAGCCCTCCTCTCCCACCAGCAGGTAGAGAGCTGTCGTGGGCGAGAGGCTGGGTCGCTTCTGAGAGCCGTGCCTGCCTCTGTGCCGGACTTCCTCAGAGCAGTGCAGCTGTGTTTGCACTGCAGCTGATGGAGGGAGTAGCAGTAATTCTTCCCTCCTTCAGGAACTGCATGAGACGAGGAGTTAAAACCAAGGACGGGCCTGGCTGGAGGGAAAGCAGAGGAGAATCTGCCCTGGCGAACAAGAGTCGGTGCAGCCTTTGGAAGGATGGAGTACGCAGAGCTGGTGGTGGCCTCTTCTCCCCTTTCCGTGAGCATCTCTTCACGTGAGTAATTCAACATACAGCAGGATTCAGCAGCACAGAGGCAGCCTTTGCTCTTTGATCCCTACTGCACGGAGACTTAGATGCTAAGTGTTTTGGGCAAATGCAGACATTGTTCCCTTGTTTTGTTGTGCTGCCTCAGCCACCCCAGTGGCCTCACTTGTGTTTGTCTTGTGGGGCCTTTAAGCCTGTGCATGTTTTGCATTGCTCTGAACCAGCCTCTTTGGCTCAGAGCCACTGTTTCTGTGCTGTCTCTGGCCCATGTTCAGTCATGCCTGTTCATAGACAGTTGGGTGGGTCTCACACACGCTATGCAGAACTTTTCATTGCACCCTCTTTGCATGTGCTACCACTGCGAGGAGAGCTGAAAGCCTTCTCTTTTACTTGCCTGAGACTGCACTAAATGCACTTCAGACTTCTCAGAAATGAGAATGGCTGTCTCGCAGTGAGCTCCAGGAGGGGTAGGGGGCAGTTAGTAAAGGGAAAGGGAATCACCAAGAAAGGGGCAGGGGGAAAACAACCCGTGGCTGATACTGCCAGGAGCTGGGGAGCACAGCCAGCAACTGGAGGAACTTCATAGAAAGCAAACTAGGCAAAGGGAATGGAGCCCAGAACAGGAGAGGCAGAGGCATCCCCTGCCCCCCTGGCCTGGCATCTTGTAACTTAAACATAAGTAGCCTCAGGAAGCAGAGTTGATAAACTAGAGCTTGGAAAACTCACTCCTGGTCAGGCCTGTCCCTGATCCACCTCTTCTGGACCCGGCCATTTCATTTACCTGTGTCTTCACAGGCCGTGGAGGAGATCTGAATGACCAGTTCTTCTTCAGCTTATGCAGTGTGTTCTATTGAGCACCCGGATCTCCTGGGCAGACCTCGTTCTCTAAGTACGCTAACTGGGGGTAAAAGCAGCGGAACAGATATTTCTACTTTTTCTGAAGGACAGTATGCTATGAGAAAAAAATTAAAATACAATTTAATAGTTCAGTAGGATTTTCTTGAACATATAGTTAGTTACTCATCGCTATTTATAGCACTATCATTTGAATATCCCTAAAGATGCAGTCATCAGACTTTTTTTTCATTACTGCTTTGAAGAACAAACCCATACTTGTTTTAACAAGTCACATCATGGGAGATGTTATTCTACGCTCTCCACCCACACAACCCTGGGATTTATTTTCATTTGAGAGCTTGTTAAACATAGCAGCAGTCAAGTGAAGAAACCAATGTTCCAAGACACAAAGGATTCACACGGATAAATCATGAACTCTAGTAGTGGGAAAGAACCATCGTTGCTTTGAAATGGAATGGTCAGTAGCACTCTTCAAAGCTGCAAGAGGTTGGCTTTAGTTTTTAGTTTTGCGACACCGAGTGACTAATTGCATTATATCTATTTAGGTTCATGTGTTCTCTGTCCACCTTTCCTGTACAGACAGGCCTAAGGGGAGGATAGAAAAATAAAAAGCATTTGACAATCGCAGAAGTGACAAACTCGCGGTAGAATTCAATCCTATGGTAGGACGTGAGGGGCCAGATTTCACCCCATCTCATGCATGTGGGTGTTTGTGTAGCTGTCGCCAGCAGTTACGCCATGGCAGCACTGGTCACCTTTGCAGATGGCTCCAAGCCATTCTGGGGTCAACCAGCTGCAGCAAAGAACAGGACACGCTTCTCTCGCCCCACCCTCGCAGCAGCTCACTGCAACATACAGGGCAGCTATTTCCCTTAGCATCTGATGCATTTTCTTAAGCCAGCTGCTCACAGTTGTGAAGCAGCCCGAGATGAGGCTAATCCTAGCAGTGATGTTGACATTCAGAGGTATCCAGTGCATCAGAAGATTCGTGCCATGGTTTCCCCTAGGGGCAGCATCCCATCAGCCTTGGGAAAGGGCTTTTAATTCTAATGTTTGTGCATGTTTCTTTGCAGTTTTTCAGTGTGCTTAAGTCTCCTATTAAGGGAATTACAAGTTCAGTATGAAACTTCTGGGATATCTAAAATACGAATATTGTGAAGACTTGTTATTCTAAGTCAGAGGTATTTGGAAATATTTATGCCAGTTGGGGAGACAGCTTAATATTTAGGAATTAGCCACTCACATTATGGGTCCAGTCTTACTGCCCGTGAATAACAACTTATTCTCTTCCTCCTTGTACAGTTTTACCCTACTTAACTCTAGAACAGAATTTATACCCCCCCCAAGAAAGTTCCGAATTTTTACTTGGCTTATTTTTTTTCCTTTGTAAAATACTTTAGCAGCACCAGCATCAGCTGAGCAGGGATTTTGAAGCTATTTCCTAAGACAGAACCGCTTGCTTCAAGGGTGCAATTTTTTCCCTAAATATAGTTTTTCCAACTGCATAAAGACATAACTAAAATAAAATTCTTTCTCCTTTCATTCCCTCACTGTGGCTACAGTGTATTTTGTGCTCTCAAGTAGCAGGGAAGCTCAACAGTCCAAAAGAGGAACTTCAAAAATGTTTTTAGCAGCAGTGATTTAGTAAGTGCTGTTCAGGAAACATCTCCTGTATGGCTCCCCACTCCAGTCAGTGCTGCCATTTCTGGTTTAGGATTAATGAATGTTTCCTCTAAAGTAAAGAAAATGTGCTCCTGAAATTTAAAAATTCAGAAACTGCGGCCCTCCCATTCATGCAATCCCTACTGGCAGCAGGAGCACTGCGGTGAGTCACCTGCTCCATATGCCCGTCTGTCTGTCTGTCTTCAACTGAGCAGGCCTAATGGTATGTTTAGTATGCAGGAACAAGAAGATGTCTCAGAAGAAGTCAATGCAGTCACGCTTTAATGTGTTTTTACATCCTTTTACGATTCACAAAGCCAGAATATAAGTACTTATACATTTTTAATAGGAAAGTAATATATTCCCCTAAAAGAAAAATAGATTTGATTAACCATTTGTCATAAAAGTTGCCTGACAGTTGAAACTTCAAGCTTCTAAGCTAGAAAAGCTCAAATAGACAAATTATACTGAAATGTTCTTTAAAGACCAAGCAGCTGTTTTATTAAAATATTAAATTTACATTTTAAAAAGAAATATTCTGATTTATTATTCAATTATGATAATATTATTGAAGTGACATGAAATTCATGACCATGGGCTTTATTCTGTCCAAATTCTGTCCTCAGTTACCCGCAGGCAATCAGTTTTGCCATTATTTAGAACTGTGCAAGATCACACACACAGAGAAGCACCATTCTGGAAAGACAAATCCAAGACACTGGATTTCAACTGGATTCTAATTTTCCCCAGAGAAAGTGGGTTTTCAGGTCTGGGACTAGGGCTGGATCCAGCGCCTGCTGCACTGAGGCCCTTGGGTCAGACCCAAAGGACCCATCCAAACCTCACTGCCACAAGAAACAGAAAAAGGATTTCAGAATACACCAACTTCGTCCCGCAGCACAAGTGAATGACCTTCAAACAACTTGAAGCAGGTTGAATTTACATTTTACTTCAAAAAAAAAAAAAAGGTAAAGTACATACATGAGGGGAAAACGGGGTGAACAACAATTATCTGAAACCAGGTTTCTACCATTTTTACCTACAGTTACCAACTGCATTTGAATCAGGCGGGCTCTTGCCAGCTGTCGCACACTTGCTTACAATATGAACAGGATTGTGGATCAAGGAAACATTTTCAAAGTTGAGGCCCAAATGGAAATAGTAAGATATCATACACAGTGTAAGTTTATAGTACACAGCATTTTTTTTTAAATGACGTAATGTAACAGCAGGAAGGAGTAGTAGTAGTTAACAGTTACTAACACTAGAATAATCAAATTTGTATGTTATACATATACAGCAACTAACTGCTTTACAAAAAAAAGCAAAATAATACAATATATTGTCACATGTATTTACAGTGTAGTAAATATACTTTTCTGTCAAATTTTACACAAAAACTATTTACAGGTGAATATACGGCATTAAAAAAAAATTGTGGGACCAACACGAAAAGTGACTTTCTGTGGTAAGTTTGTTGCATAACAATAAGACGTGCTTCATTACATTTGAAAAAAATTAACCTTAGAATGAAACAGAAAAAGCCCTAAAACCTACAACCCAGTTAGGAATAGAGCACCGGGACGCTCCCAGGTGCTCAGTCCACAAAACTTAATTGAAATGTTTCCTGTTCTTGGAAACCTCATGCACATTAAAGCAGAAACATTGGCATAATTAACAGGTAGGTTATGCACTACTCAAATACTACTGAATTATCTTTAAGTCGGGGAAAATACAAACACAAACAAAATGTTAATCATCTTTACAGTACTTAACTGTAGTTAGTGCGTAATGGATAACGTGTTCTAAAACAGGGGTGTCAAACATACAGTCCCCACGATGTAGTTACATGGTCCGCATGTTAAAACCAGATTTTTCTGAATCTAAGTTTTCATTTCAAAGTGCGCAGACTCCACGGCTGCAGTAGCCCACGCAGCAGTGACTGCCCGCGTCTGCAGGCTGCCTGAAACAGCGATGCGAAGGTCGGAACTCTTAGATCTGTCTCCCACTCGCTAGATCAAGTTTCAAGCCCACATCGTCACCAGCAACCACCTGCTGATCACTACGAGCATAAACAGAGTAACAGGATGAGGAGAGAACAGGAGCAGGCTGGGCTGGGAACTGAGTGGTGCTCACAGGAACGAAACGGAGCAGGATGGAGAATATTCAAAACGGGAGAAGAGAACAAATAAAGGAGGATGTGAGAAAGAAAACAGAAAGGCAAAACAGCAGCAATGGCCGTTACAGGGAGCAGGCTAGGTGATGAACGTGACAGTAAGGCACTGAACAGCTCATTACTAACAGAAGTTTAATCGTTGAAGAAAGGCCATGTCTTCCCCTTGATCTAAGCACAAGCTTCCCAGCTACTGGTACTGGGGGATGACTTTCCTGTGTATCGGGGCACACGTGATTCCAAATTAAACTTTGGCCATCGACTGTAATTACACCCAAATTCAGCCCCCATGACCTAACATGTTTGACACCCCTGCTCTAAGAAAGTTCAGGTCCTCTCACTGAACCATGCAGTGAAAACATTAAATGATGCCCCCTCCTTCCAGGAAATAGAATAAATTAAATTTTGTTGACTTACTTTATGAAGATAGCAGGTTTTTTCAGCTGGGACTGAGAGCCTGGAGTAGTTCTAGTTCTCAGATGAAAGGTAATTTTAATTGCTGTCCATTTTGATTTCGCATTGTATGTATTTCAAAGAATGCATTAATTCTAATTGAGGGACACTTTTTTTTTTTATATAGGCAATGCAAAATATTGAAAAAGCTGCTCTCAAATGCACCCAATCCAAACAAAACCAATTTGGTAGTTCATCTGGAATTACTATTTCTGTTTAAAGAAAATCTGCTCGTAGGAGAAACAACTGAAAGCTGTATTTTTCTAACAGCAAATTACCTTTACAAGAGATTCTTTTTTCCTCCTAACTACAAATGCTCAGGCTTCCACAATTCATTGTCTTCAGCAAAACGGAAAGGGCTGGACTTCGCTTGATTCAGTACAACCACGTGCAAACTGGCAGCGATGCTGAAGGCGGCTATTGGCAATTTGATGTATGAGATGAGAACGGTTTTTAAATCGGTGACTCCCAACGTGTTGCATGCGTAGCGGCGCAGGACACGGCACGAGTCACTGCTCTACCCCTGCATGCAGTTCTAGCCTCACGATCCCTTTCACAGTTCTGCATCAGCTCAGTAACCACATTTCTACTGCAGCTCCTACACGACCAAGAATTAAAAAAACTGGTTAATTCCATGAGTCTTCGTATTTTCCAACGTATCTATTTCAAGACTGCGAATTCTAAGTTTTCCCCTTGTTTTGGCAAACTATTTGCATATTACGTTTGTGTTCATAGTTTTTCCAGGACTGTAAACAAATTAAAGAAATTAAATTGTTATTTTATGAATCAATACAATAAAGGTATTTTTATTTACATAAATGTTACATTGTTACTGTGTGGATACATGTGAATTATGTGCTATATCAATAAAATCTGAACACTTACTTGTACCATTCTCTAATAATTTAGCTGTGGAGTTTGATTTACTGAAAGCCACTAACAAAATTGCACTAGAGGATTTCATTTTATATAGTGGATACACTTTTTTTCCTTTAAAGCCACTTAGAGATTGTTAATTTCTAACATACAACAGGGATCTGAAACCCCTGGGAAGTTTGACTGTTCTTCAGCAGGAGACCTGCTCAGCCCTCCAGTGAGCACCCAGATGAGAGGCCCTTTTGTCAGAACTTCTGCTCGCCTCCGAGATCAAGCGCTCTGCACGTTTTCAGTCCGTGCAGGCAGCATCGGCAGCACCCAGCGCCGCACCTTTACACGTCATCAACATAGCAGCATGTTCTCACAGTCGTCCATCGCGGATGCACGACTGTAGCTGACAAGTCTTTCACAGTGACAGCAACTTCAGTTTTGTGTAACCCCCAAGTACGAACCCTTGCAAACTGAAACCCCTTGGAAGTTCTGCAAGACGGGTTTGACTGCAGGTGTCTGTACTGATACCAGGAATTGCACTGCAAACATTCAAACGTAACCTGGATTTGACACAGTGTCAGTTATGTTCAACTCATGTACCTTAAGCAAACATTGCTGTTTTTCTATCACTGCTTGGGCAGCACAAAAGCAGCTTTGCCAAACACCACCTCCCAGAGCTGGAAGTTAATTCATTCAATTTTCCCCTCCATACCCCACTGGTTATTCTGCCAGGAATTTCTCGAAGGTGCATATTGTTGGGAAGGGCAAAACTAAAGTATACGCTAAATGGAAAAAAGAACCAATAGATTTTCAACGCTGCTCCCATGACAGCATAATAGTCAGTTCTCGACGATTTTCTTTCCACTATACAACCTTTTTTAGTGCAGTTAAAGTACAGCAAAAAAAAATTTGCTTTGGAAAAAAGCCAGTTTGTCCAGTCTGGTCCATATACAGTCCAAGTATGTGAAGCTATGGTCTGGGGAATGAAAGAGACTCATGCAGCCTCCTTGTCTTCTCAAATTTATTGCTAATTACTATAAATTTAATCTAACCCACCACTTCTGGTTAAGCTCATTGTACTGCAGCTATCGTAAGTTCTTTTAAGTATGGTAAAAAAAAGTCCACAGCTAAAAATCTTACAGGTTTGAATTAAAACCAGGATTATAGTAACTTCCCCCGGCTCATAAAGCCACTACCTTGAAAAGTGTGCAAACAGGATTAAGGATTAACACTTTCCTTTAGAGAAGAAACAAACAAGGCAGGTAACAGAAGCAAGGTAGAACTGTCTATGGGAAATGGCTTTCGTATTTGGACAAGAGACCGTTCCGCAGTGTTAAAGAACTCCACACCTCCTTCGGCTACAAGGTCCGTCAGGATCTGTAGGAGCGGTTCTGAAACACTGGCTTAAATCAAAAACAAGAAAAGAAATGAAGGCATTAAAATTCAGGCAATGTTTCAAGAGTTGATCATCTGGCAACACGGCTGACAGGATGGGAACTTTAAAAATTAAGTGCAGCATCACAACCGGTGGAGTGCCCTTTGCGAGAGGCCCGCGTGTGTCAGTCAGTTTCCCAAAAAAAACCCCAAACCTAAAAAGAAATAGTCACACAATCTTTTTGATGCTGTGACGTTTGAAACTGCCAGCACTTCGCTGCTTTTGCACTTGGCTTGCGGAGCCGTGGCGCATCCTCCCACTGTTGGAGTGTCCGGCGGTGGGCGAGAGCTCCACGTTCTCCTTGTCGATCCCTGGGGAAACACAAGGACCGAGGTTAACCTCACCGCTTTGGCCGTCCTGCAACTTAACGCTTTAAGGACGGCTTTTTCTGCGGACACACCGGCCAGCTCGCCAGCCCCTGTGCAGAACAGCGGCAGGAACAAGCGACGGTGCCCTCTGGGCCAGGGAGGTGTCGGCAGAGCCCCGCCTGCCAGGGCGGGCCGGCCGTGGGGGACCCGCCTGCAGCGGTGTCAACAGTCTGGATGAAGAGGGGACGTCGTGGTCCAAATACTGCTGAATTCTGCCATGCTGACAAGTGGTGGTTCATTCAAAACAGCGTTTGGCAACACAAACCAGCAGCAGTGCCGCCTGCCTGGGAAAGCGCTGCAGAACCTGGTTATGACGTATTTTTAAAAAAAGAATATAACATCATTTGTGGTCGCTTAACCCCAGTAGGCAGGTAAGCACCACACAGCCGCTCGCTCATTCCCCTCCACCCAGTGGGACAGGGAGAGAGGAAAGGAAGAGTGAAAGCAAGAAAACTTTGGTGTCCTGATTAAAATAAAAAGTCTAGTTAAGTGAGGGATTTGTGGAAGATGAACGAAAGCAAAACAAGTGATGCAAAAGCAAACGCTCAGCACCCCCATGGGTAGACCAGTGCCCAGCCAGCTCCCGGGCGGAAGATGGCTAACCTCCCCAACGCCCCTCTTTATTGCTGAGCACCACGCTGTCTGGCACGGAATAACTCTTTGGTGAGCTGGGGTCACCTGCCCGGCTGGGTCCCCTCCAGCCTACTGCCCACCCCCCGGCTATTCACCGGGGGGCTGAGTGAGGGTCAGAGCAGGCCCTGCCCTGCGCAACGCTGCTCGGCACCGCTTTGGTCACAACTCTAAAACACGGCCCCATGCCAGCTGCTATGAAGAAAATCAACTCCACCCCAGCCAGGCCCAGAACACCATTTTAGCCAGATGTAACACAATCTTAACTGTCGATGATGTCTCACACATGACAAATGTGATACAGCTACTTCATTGCAGTATTCTAGTATGAAAAATAATTTTTGCAGGACCAGATGTACGACCCCGTCTCCAGTGAGAACCCGGACTTTGACCAGATGAAACACCTCCACATGCTAAAGTGCGATGCCTGCTCACACAGCTCTACGCGCTCACCTACACATAGCTTATCACATTTCAACATGACTCGTTCAAATAACCTTCCCCCCGCCCCTTAAAGTTGCAGATTGAATTTGCTGTTAGTTTAACTCCAACAATAAAAGACAAAAATACTCTGGCCTATGGACACTGGCTGATCTGTTTCAATCTATGCTACTTTCCTACAACAACATGAAAATAGACAGGGGTATGAACTGTTCACCAACTTCACCTAGTCAGCTCTTAAAACAGAAATAGGAATTTTATTTACTAGGGGAAATAGCACAGACAAACGTTCACACGGCAGATGAAGGGCTCCCCTACATCCTCAAAGCATTCGTACCAGCATCCGTACTCACTGAAAACACTAAAGTCTTCCAGGCCACAAAGCCCTTTCTGGCTCTAGTTTTGAGAAGACTGAGCAAATGAAAGAGTTTGACTCAAGTCTCTTCTGGCTTTTGCATTCTCTAGGAGGGAGAATTGTCAGGCTGTCAAATCTGTGGGCTTCTTCCAGCCAAAAATCAGACTGCTATTAAATGGGAATGGCAGAGTGAGGAAGGTTTGTTTCTGAACCACAGAATTCTGCTGCAATGGCAGAGGCTGATTCTTGCTACCAAAGAAGATTCGTGTGTATTCAAATACCTAAAATTCCCCTCAACACTGAATCCTGGCTCACAAACAAAGATCACTAAAAATACATAACATACAAATCAATGTTTGGAGGACTCTCTCTCATTGCCAGGAGGAATGAAAGGCTTAGCTGACTTATTTTGCATGCAGCAGAAATAGAACTGAGGCAGGTATTCACTTGAAGAGTTAAGTGTCAAAGTGTAGGCACCAATTATAATGATTTAAACCCTGCCAAATTGAAAGTAAAAAAAAAAAAAAAAAAAAAAAAACAAAAATTTAAAAAAAAAAAACAAAAAAAAAAAAAAAAAAAAAAAAA